GGACGGAGACACATGAGTCCACGAGTCCTGCCTGCAGGGCCCCCACTGGTGGAGAACCAGTTTCTAGGTTCCCAGTTTTGCAGCCAGCAGGGCCTCCCTCTGATGGAAGTTGGAGAGAGGGCAGTGGGTCCACGGACTCCCTTCTGAGGAGCCTGAGGCCCCAGGTGGGCATAGGTGAAATGTGTGCTCTCCGGGGCCACGCCAGGGGGCATGCATCCGCCCACAGCCCTGCCTCGTCACCTTGGTTCTAGGGGGGCCCTGCCGTCCTGCCCCAGTGCCCCTTCCTTCCATTCTCTCGCTTTGGGGTCTCTTCACCTCCCTGCGTCTCAGCTTCCTTCCTTGCTGAATGTCGAGGACACATTAGACACCTGCTGGCAAAAGCCAGAAGTGGGTTGGATCTGCATCTGGTGCTCACCTGCCTACTAACCTGGGCCGGATGGAGTTTTCAGGGCAAACGTTTTTTAGTCAGTCTAGTTCAGAAGACTCAGTTCTAGTCATTAGTTCAGTTAGCCTACCTACTGATTTTCTTCCTTAGGAAACATATTTTTCTGTGCAACAAATCCATGATCACTGTGGAACAAACTCTATAATGTGGATAAACTGAAAAACAACCCCCAAAACCCACAATACAGATTTACTGAAGATTACACCACCTGGAAATGATCCCTGTCAACACTTTATAATTGTTCCTTAGGCTCTTTTTTCCTCCATACATAGATGTCTTTTGTATTTCTACACACATTTTACAAAAGAACTGGTAACATATATATCCTTTTTAGTCACTCAGCCATATATTCACACCTTTCCATGTGGATGGATACACGCATAGTACCTTTAACTGTGGAAAACACACAAGTTAAGAAATGTGAGTGAGTAGCCCAGCTGCCAGGCAAGCAGTCTTCCATCGTGGCAGCTGCAGTGGTTCGCGCCAGGGCAGAGCTGCTGCATCTGGAGTGGTGAGGAAACTGCCCCGGAAGAGGACAGGAGTGGTCCCCAGGCCCACTGCCTCCCAGACTCCACACGGGGGCCCAGCAGGTTGGTAGTGACTGAAGATCGGGGTTCAGCCACTCTCCAACCTCCAGCCATGGCCAGCACCACCGACCACCATTTCTTGAGCAACTGCCTTGTTGCTGGGCACTGTTCTGGGCACTGAGGGGGATTCTAAAGAGAGAAAAGGCACAGTCCTACCTCTCAGGCAGCTTGTAATTTAACTTGGGATCCGACACCCACTCAAACGGTGCAGCGTGAGAATGGTAATGAGCATTATTTCACTAGAACGGGCACCAGGAAGAAAGCTCAGGTGTTTGTGTCACACCCGCTGATGACTTTGCTCATGAAATGATCAGGCATGGAAATGACAAGAAAACCATTAGTATCCACTTAAAAGGAGATACTCGGAGAGGAGTTGTGAGTGACCCACAGACAGATGGTTGTTCAAGCCGCATGGGGTTCTCCATGATGCCTCCCGGGGCTTGGTGTAGGGACAGTTGCAAAGGACGTGGTTTCTCAGGCCCCCCGTGGCTATAATGTTAGTTTACTTTATTGTTTTACTTAAGAACCTGTGGAACCCCTCATGGAGGAAGAGGTGCAAATATGGTGAATAAAATAAAATATAACCTCATTTACTTAAAAAAATGTATTTTTAAAATGAGCTGTCAAAGTCCTAGAGACAGAAAGTGGGAGGGGGCGTACTCTCCCTGCAGGGAGCACACTCACGCCTTTGTTCCCTGCCAGGCAGGCATCTCCTAACTCTGAGGGTCCTAATGAGACTTGGAACCAGGGGAGCAATGGGCAGTGGCAGCTGGTTCCGGCTAACCCCCTGCATCTGTCTCCGAGGCCCCCTTTTCTCTGACTCCCCAGCGAGCTAACTGCTGCCCTGATGCCCGGCTGTGGCTCGCTTCTTTCCCATAACGTTTCTAGAGAGCCAGAGCAGCCCCACCTCATCTTTCTCCTGTTGCTTCTACTCCTGGGCCCTTTCTTGTTTCATTGTTTCCAGCTTAATAAACGTACCCTCAAAAAAAAAACAAAACAAAAAAAAACAAGCAAGCCCTGGCTGGTGTGGCTCAATGAGTTGAGCCCGGGCCTGCACATCTAAAGGTCGCTGGTTCAACTCATGGTCAGGGCATGTGCCTGGGTTGTGGACCGGGTGCCCAGTTGGGGATGTGTGAGAAGGAACCAATCAGTATTTCTCTGGTGCATTGCTGTTTTTCTCCCTCTCTTTCTCCCTCCCTTCCCCTCTCTCTAAAAATAAATAAAAATAAAATCTTGGGGGAAAAAAGTAGGATGGCGGTTGCCAGGGGCTGGGAGAAGGAGTGGGCGGTGGTGTTTGATGGGGACCAAATGTCAGTCCGGGGAGATGGACCACACCCCGGGGCTGGAGGGTGGGGAGAGCTGCCCAGCAGTGCGACTGCACTGACCGTCACTGAACTAAGTGCTTAAAAAGGGTTACAGTGGTAAATTTACATTACGTGTATTCTACTATAACTTAAAAAATAAATATAATAAAACTAAAAAAAGTATAAGCAATTCAGAGTTCTATTAAATGAAAATGAAGACTCCCTCCCTGCTCTTTATACTCAATATGTGGGCTGAAGAGCTAACCAATACTTTAATAATAGAACAACAGTGTCCTGGCCGGGTGGCTCAGTTGGTTGGAGTGTCACCCAGTATACCAAAGGTTTCGGGTTTGATCCTGGTGGGCACTTATGGGAGGCAATCAATAAAAGAGAGACAGAGAGATAGAAAGAGGACAACAATAATGAAGTTCCTGTGTTTTGAGCTAAGCCACTGACATGCAGTAGCTTCTCTTAGTTCTCATGAAAGTCCTCCAGAGTAAACAGCGGGGAAGTGGTGGAGCTGGTTGGTTTCCATGTCAGGGCCTGAACTCTAAACAGCTAAGTCTGCTACTTCTTTTATAAGATCGTTTCATTTTAAAAAATAGTGTGTCAGTGACAGTGAAGGAAAGAGTCACTCCTTATGCCCCATTCAGCCTGTTGTTACTTCTCTGCATTCCTCTACCAGGGGGTCCAAACTTTTGGCCTCTCTGTGCCACACTGGAAGAGCAAGAGTTATCTTGGACCACACATTAAATACATTGCGACAAGTAATCACAAAAGAAAATCTCATAATGCTTTAAGTAAGTTTACGAGTTTGTGTTAGGCCTCATTCACAGCCATCCTGGGCTGCATGCGGCCTGCGGCCCACAGGTGGGACACCCCTGCAATCAAGCCTTTTTCACAGGTTCCCACCATTGTCCTGCTTTCCATCTACAGAGGGGAGCAGGGCCTGGGGTGGGGGTGGTGATGACCTTGGTGTTGGAGTAGTTCTGCCCTAACCAGATGGGAAGGGGCAGTGAAACTAGCCCTAGGTTTGAATCTCATCAGCTGTTTGATTCAGGCAGAAATCATTTTGCCTCTGGGACCCTCAATGTGCTAAAAAAAATGCAGATAATTGTTAACCACCGGAGATTGTCCTGAAAGTCCAGTAAGTCTGCTGGGTGCCATTCAGGTGCAGTGCCGTGCGTTTAGGCATCATTGCTATTGCTCTAGTCCTGAAGCTTGTGTTTGGAAAGCTGGGCTCCACGGTAGAGGTCGGTTTTGTCTAGCGAGAGGCAGTTTACCTGTTGGAACGAATGCTACTGGGGACTCCTACTGGGGACTCCAAGGCTGGAGGTGGTTCGTCCCAGCCCCACCTGATGAGGCATGCATGAGAGTTAGCAAGTTGGAAGGCTTCCCTGGAACTTTAGTGCCCCCATTTTCGTGGCTCTCAACGATGGGTCTACCCCAGACCATCAGAGTGAAGGGCCTCGAATGCCTTGAGGGGCTGCAGACTTTGGACTTGATGTGGGAGGTAACGGGGAGATACAAGGAGTCAGGTGAAGAGTGTGTTCTTTATGCACATGATGGGGTCATGAAGGCTTAAGCAGGGAAGTGAGGAGGCCAGATCTGTGTTTGAGTGAGACACAGCCTGGGAGGGATCAGAAGGCCTCCGCGCTGGAGGCTGAGGCCAGCAGGGAAAGATTTCCCAGCAGCAGAGGAGGCTGCTCTCACATTGAGAAGCTGGGTGGAAGCCACACCCTTGTGGTACCTTGGGGTCTCCCACATGGATGCAAAAGGGAAGTGATTGCTCTCCAGAAGGCAGGTGACCTCTGCCCAGGCTCCTTTGGCCAGCCCTCTGTCCAGGTTGTGTGATCTTGGGGAAGCCCCTTAACCTTTTGAGGCCTCAGTGTCCTCGTCCCTACCAGGGATGAAATGCAAAACCCTGTGTGGACTTGGTGTATGCAAAGTTGGGCCTGGGTGGGGCACATCAGTACTCAGTTGACGTAGCTGCTATTTTCAGGGTCCCCATCTACGCAACGGGGAAGGTTGCACACGCTTCCACTGCTTGTGGAAGGGGAAGCTGCAGGACCAGCCAGAACGTTTATAATGAGGGGCTTGACTGGGGACTTAGCAGGATGGATATCTTTTTTTAAACATTCTTTTTTATTGTATTTTTTCACTACCATTTATCCCGCCCCCCCATACTCTCTTCCACCTCCACTCCCCTCCCCCAACATTCACCACACCGTTGTCTGTGTCCACGGAGGATGGGTATCTTTAACTCCCCTGTGTTCAGGGACATGCACAGTTTACAGAGCCCTGTCACGGCTGTGTTCTCCTGTCTCCCTCCCAACAGTCTGTGAGACGGGCAAGCAGATGTTTTCAGTGTGTCCATTTGACAGGTAAGAACACAGGCTCTGAGAAGGAAAGCGACTTGTCTAAGGTCACACAGCTAGTAGGGTTAGCAGGCAGGTATTCTGACTCAGAATGTCATGCTGGGCCAGTCACAGGAGAGGGTCATGTCCAACTCCCACGTTCTACAGACGGAGAGGCCAAGGCTCAGAGAGGGAAGCACTCGCTGGGCACGCTGACTTTGAGGCAGAGCTGGGACCAGACCAGCCTCTGACGGCTATGCCACTTCACCGAATAACCGCGACTTCCTTCCATTGCACCTTGTTCCAGGGAAACCAGCTCCTGAGACCAAGTCTTCTGTCCCGCATTTCCCGGGTGCCGTGCAGCCAGGAGGGCCAGGGGCGGCTTCTGTGAGCAACGCCGAGGGTGAGCAGCAGAAGGGGCGGCCCGTGAGGCCGGCTGCCCTTCCAGGCCCAGGTATTTTAAATTAAATTAAATTTTTTTATTTAAAGAAAATTTATTTAAGGAAATAATTTATCTATAAAGATATTCAACTCAGTATATAATGGCAAAAAATTAGAAACAACAGTGAGGATGGTAAAATTAATGACAGAAGTTCATTACAATAATACTGTTAGCATAGCATAATACTGTTAATGTATTTTTAACATAACAATACTGTTAACAGTGATTTGGGTGTGTGTACATCCATGAAAATATACACTATATTAACTGAAAAAATCCAGATAATAAAAGAATATATACCATTTTTAACCATTTTTATAGAAAGAAAGAAATAACTCAGTAAATGAGGGCTTTCTCTGTGCCAGTGTTCTAAGCACCTCAAAGATGTCAACTCATTTAATCTTCGTGAGCTGTGAGTTAGGGATTGTGACTGTCCCCCTTTCACAGATGAGAAAACTGAAGCCCCCAGGTCAGGCTGGCCCTGCATGCTGGCTCCCAGCGAGGAGCCTGGTGACCTCCCTGTTCTCCCTCCACAGGCCCATGGCCCCTCTGGGGGCCTGGCCCTCACAGCCACACAGCGGAGGGCTCCTGGCCTCACTACCTTCCTCCTCGTTCCTGGGCACAGATCTTTTGCATTGTTCTAGGGCACCTGAAGCACCAAGAGGGAAAACGATTTGCTCAAGGTCACATGAGTGGGAAGTAGCATCTGTCATTTGAACACTTACATCCCTAACCTCTGCACACACCACTACCCCAAAGCCTGTCAGACTACTTCAGGTTTTTCTCCATTCCCTGTTCCCAGGAATGGGCTCAGGCCTTTTTGCCAAATCATGGAAGGACTCGGCTAGCGGCGACTTCCCCAGGGGGAATTGCTGTCTGTGCCCACATCTCCATTCTTACCGCCTTTCCCCTGGAGCCCAGCCTTCCTTCCTCCCTCCTGCAGCCTCCTGCGTGGTGAGCCAAAGACCCCACAGCTATGAGCCCTCAGTTCATCAGTGTGGATCCCAAAGCCAAGGTCAGCATGAGCTGAGAGGAACACACATAGGCTTTTACATTAGACAGACCCACATTTGAACTCCAACTTTGCCACTTTCTAGCAGAATTATTTAGTCTTTCTGTGCTTCAGTATTGTCATCTATAAAATGGGCACAATAATAGAACCTACCTTGTCATGTTGAGGTAAGGAATCATACACTTCAGTGTTGCCACCATATAAATGCTCGCTAAATGTTAGCTGAGCCCTGGCTGGTGTGGCTCAGTTGGATGGAGCATCATCCCATACACCAAAAGGTTGGGAGTTTGATCCCTGGTTGGGGCGCATATGGGAGGCACCCAATCAATGTTTTTCACGTTGATGTTTCTCTCTCTCTCTCTCAAATCAATAAACATATTTAAAAATGGAATGTTACCTGATGTTAGGAACATTCCAAACATCCCAAATACATCAAGTTCGGAAAATTAATTCTAGGACAAGGAGTCTGAATTATTTCCTGTAGATAAAGGAAAAAAAAGTGCAGAACTTTGATCAGCAATTAAAGAAAGATAAGGGGAGGCTCTGACTGGTGTAGCTCAGTGGGTTGGGTGTTGTCCCACAAACCGAAAGGTCGTCGGTTTGATTCCTGGTTAGGGCACGTGCCTGGTTTGTGGGTTTGATTCCCAGGTGGGGTCCATGATTCTCTCTTCCTGTTGATGTATCTCTCCCTTTTTCTACCTCCCTTCCCCTTTCTCTAAAAATAAATAAATAACATAAAGAAAAAAGATAAGGGGAAATAGCCATAAAGCCAATGTGATACTGGTTGATGGCCAATGGGAAACAGTAATAAAGTAGGGAGATTCTGGGGGAATGCTTGTCAGGATGGAGGAGGTCCCAGGTGTAGCAACTTCTTCCGTTGTTCCTCATCTAGGCGACTGCAAAAACAAGCCTCGTAAGTTTCTGCCGGCCTTTGCACCATTCAGTTTCTTGAGTGGCCTTTGGAAGCACTAGTGCCCTGGCAGGTCAAGATACTAAAGACAAACTGCAGACGGAGACAAGAAATTGATTGTTTATCTTTGCCTACACTGAAAATAATGAGTAATCATTCATTTCCTCAGAATGAAAAGAAGACTCAAAGCTTGTATTTTCTTGGGAAAACCCCAAGCTTTCTTTGGGCCCCAAAATTCAAGCTGATTATCTTGTGGGAGTGGACATTGCAGAGGCAGCAGTGGAGGGGGCTGGGGAGGGCACGACAGGTGGGAACAGTGTCAGCGTGCAGGAGACAGGGCACCTGGAGCTTCTGGCCAGTGCCTCCCAAGCCACACTGACAGCCAGGGGTGGCCCGTGTTGCCCCCTCAGTAGCTGGGGAAGGATGCATAACCTTTCAGGGCTTCCTGGCTGAATGAGTGGTAGGGCCACAATTCGGCTCAGATGGTTTGCTTGAGCCCACATCTTTTTATTTTAAAAAATATATATTTTAAAATTTATTGGTTTTAGAGAGCAAAAGTGGGAGAGAGAAACATCATTTTTTTTGTTGTTCCACTTACTGGTGCATTCACTGGTTGAATCTTGTGTGTGTCCTGACAGGGGGAATCGAACCGCAACCTTAGCATATTGGGATGCTGCTCTAACCAAGGGAGCTCCCCAGCCAGGGCTAGAGCCCGCGTCTTAACCGCTGCATATCTTGACCCCCTTGTAGTAGTAGGTGGGGCGGGAGTGGGAAAGAGACATGGGAGAGGAAAATTCTTGAGCAGGTAAGCCACAGACACGTTCTCAGTATTTTATTAAACAAATTCTCAAAGATAGAATTCAGATAAAAGGGCTCTGGGTAGCCAAAATAACTCACAAAGCCTTAGCTATAGGAGAGGCAATTGGGCTGTCAATAAGAATCTATTTTCTTTTACTCTACACAGAGTTTTACCAGCCTTGATACTCATACACACGTAGCAGAGTCTGTTCGTTGTGCTTTATAACTGTCATCTCTTTTAATCTGGACAAGAACTCCACAAGGAATGGACTATTTGTGCTGTTTTTACATTTGGGAAAGTTAAAGAAATGATACACAACTCACCCAAGGCCAAATCTTTAGTAATGTCAAAGCCAGGACTGGAGCCCAGTTCTGTCTGACAAACCGAAAAGGGATGGGGAGGCCACAGACACAGACCCTGTGGTGGACTCCGGCCCGCAGAGTCCGCCTGTTGTGACTGAAGACAAGAGTAAATGCACAGGTGACAGCAATCCTGTGGAGAAAAAGGGGATGGCATGGCCACTCTCAAGAGGAGAGTGCCCCGACCCTTGCCTACACAGGCTTTTATTGTTTTTCTCGGGTCTTACATTAAAGAAGGATTTATTATCTGTTACATAGAATATTGTTGTCTAAATTTTAGGTGCAATCAAGGAAATGAAAATAACACATGCGGAAGGGAAAGGCAGTGAGCTGATTAGCTCTGTCCTTGGGAAAATTCACACAGGCTTTGGAAATTACCTTGGAGATAGACAATACACATTTAGTGTTTCAGACCAGGGAGATGGAGTTTTAGCAAGAGCAAGCCACAACAGTCCATAGGCATTTTCTAGGCCTGATTCCCATGGGAAAACTTGGTTTGAAGGTCTGGCTCCTGCCCACCACTTCGCTTCTATAGGTTTTCCATGCAGAGCTGAGTCACATTTGCCAGACTGAAACAAACTGGTCCCACCACTGGCCACGGGGCGGGCAGGGCACAGAGCGCACGAGCGAGAGGCAGCGCTCCCACGTGCTCTGCACGGAGGCCCCCGACAGTGCAGCGCGGCGGGATGGGGTTGGCTGCCTTCTGCTCGGGAAGGCAGACGTTCTAGAAAGATTTTCATAAGAAACTTTTTAAAATTGTAACAGTTTTGGCACACAAAAGGTTAATTCTTAGTGTTTTGGAAGTGACATATATGTAGCCCATTGTCGTCCCTGACCCAATCCCTCCACGAGCATTCACAGAGCCGGGCTAGCTCCTAGCTGAAGTGTCAGCCTGGCGGAGTGGCCCAAATCCCACTCCTTCTCATGGTTTACAGAACCACAGGGATAAATAGACTCAGCCTCTCCTCCAACTAGTAGCCCTCATCTGTCACAAGAGCAGACCTCAGTGGTCCTCCCAACCCAACTGACCTGAGACAGCCCCCAGAGTGAGCACTAGGCATCAAGTCAGACCAGAAAATCCTGGTTGAGTGAGGCCAGCGCTGACCTTGGAGTCACAGGGCAAAGGAAAAGGACAAGAGACCACGTGTGCAGCTCTGCTCTGAGGCCAGCGCTGGGTCAGGGAGAGGGGGTGGGGCAGGAGGGAGATTGAGTTGTCCTGGAGCAGCTGTTCCCAGATTGTGGAGCCTGCACCCCCCAGTGGTACATGAGAACATGTTAGAGAAAATATATACTACATGCATAGAAAACTGGAGGTTTCAAGGCTGAATACATACTGTGTGAATTAAAGTGGACTGAAAGAAAACCCCAGGTGACTCAGTGGGGTGGCCCAGAGGCGTGGCCAACCTCCAGGGGATGGGTGCACGTGACAGGCCAAGGGGAGCAGGCAGAGACGTCATCCCAGGAGCTGCAGTGGCAGGGGGCCTTTCTGCAAGGCTGGGGCCCTGTGCTGCCGTCAGGGGGCACCTGTATTCCAAAGATTCTCATGTGACCAATACCTGAGAGAAAATGGGAAGGAGCTGGGCAAGGCTGGCGTGTGGGAAGGTTGGGCACGAGTGTCCTGCCTGCAGTCTAAGACATGGTCAGGGGTGTCCTTGTGGACACTGGGGTCACCATCAGAGTCCTGGATCTCCCCTCTGCATTCCTTCACAGGGGAGGGAGAGCGGGTGGGAGAACCCCGTGGGAAGCTTGGCCTGGGTGTGGGTAGGGGATGGATTTAAGTGAGGAGCAGCATAAGTTCTCTAGTTACACTGCCAGCAACTGGTCTGCAGCGCATTGCTGGTTTTGTTTATTTTACTGTGGAATCTGCATTAATTATCATGCTTGTGTGTTTGCCAGGACACTTGCAATGTCTGAGCTGTGAGCTGTAGCTCTTACCCTGAAGCCCAGTTTATGTTCACAGTACACTGACAGACTGAGGGTGTGCAAGTGTGTGTGCTTAGTGCCCTACTCTGGGGTTCTCTGGAGGCTGTGGGTGTGCAGACATGGTACCTTCTTAAGCGATGCTCTTCAAGTATCATATAACCAGTTCTGGAAAATGTGAAAACCAAAACCAAAACCAACCCCCACAAAGACTCCAGAAATAGCCACGGACCAGGAGAGGCACAGGCTGGCCTCCTGTGGGGCTCTGTGGGGATGAGAGAGCCTCCTGCTCTGTGTCAGGGAGGTTTTGTTTTGTCAGCCGCCCAGATGAACAGTTTAGCAAGGCTGCGTCTGGTTTCACCCTGGTACTATTTTCAGTCTTCTGAATTATTTTTTATGGCCAAAATTCCAGATGAATCACTCTTTTCTTGATGTCATAAACTAGAAACATGAGAAGCGGGTGAGTTTGGCCAGCAACCCTGGGGTCAAGGCCAGGTTTCCCTGGAAGGGCCGGCCCCCAGTTCCTCAGAGGCCTGACTTTCTGCATCCGTGAAGAGTAGGCACTAATGGTACCCATCTCCTAGGGCTGTGGTGAGGACTGAATGAGTAGACACCCTGCGGCACTTAGAACGGTCCCTGGCATGGTGTCAGTGTGTGCTAATTAGGTGTGCCTGGGGTATTTGCTGCACACCTGGGCTTCCCCTCCCCTGGTTCCCCGCCTTGGTGCCCTCCTACCTCATAGCCACTTGTCAGAAACGTTTCTCCTTCTTTCGAGCCAGGTCAACTGCTCTTTCCTCTGTGAAACCCTCCTTCACCTCCCACCCTGTTATGGCCAGCCTCTCCTGCCTCTGACCTCAGAGGCTGGTTATGACCGTTCCTGCTATGGTGGAGGTTTCTGGAAGGCAGCCTTCATAGCTAACTGCCTGTGTGTTCTCTGATCCTTTTGAGGGACGTGTGACAGTGTAGGGGTTAGAGGTCACACAGATGACATTCCCTTTGAAGGCTGGCTCTGCCACTTAATGTGTGGCCCTAGGTAAGTGGCCAGGCCACCTCTAGTGCCTCTGTTTCTCTACCTGCCAAGTGGGAATCATTTACAGGATCAACCAATGCACAGGCTTGTCCTGAGGATTCATGCAGGTAATGCATGAGGATTGTTAGGCTGTGCCTGGGACTATCAGGAAATAGCAGCCATCGTACTGACAGTGAGTGTTTGTCATGTAAATCAGAGACAGGTTTGGTATGGGGACTGCTAGGGACCGCCTCCCTCTTTCCCCAAGCAGGCCACTTTCCGACCGCAGTTCCTACTTTCCAGGTCCTGCTCCAGCCAGAGCCAACCTCCTGCCTCCTCCTGAAGATGCTCCTCCTTCCTTAAACACTGACCTTCCTGCTTCATCTGATTCAAAGGTAAATCCTCCACCCAAAAGCTGTGTCCCCAGTTTGGGGCACTCTCTCTCTCAAAAGTGCAATGCATTTATTCCCTGAGACCAGTGTGGGGGTTAGGGGTGAGGTGAGGGGGAGAAAGGAGACCCATTGAATTACTTGAGCTTCCAAGATAGTAAGTACTGGCCAGTAATACTGGTGGTCAGTACAGCTGGGACAGGGTTAGGTTGAGATGGCAGGTTGGTGCACTAGTGAATACACTTTTTTTTAATTTTAATTTTGAATTATGCATACTGAATGGCTATTGTTGTGCTGGCTGTTGTCATTAAAAAAAGATTTTATTTATATATTTTTAGAGAGAGGGGAAGGGAAGGAGAATGAGATGGAGATAAACATCCATGTAGGAGAGAGACATCAATCCTCTCGTACCTAGGGACCTGTCCCGCAACCCAGGCACGTGCCCTGACTGGGAATCGAACCAGCAACCCTTTAGTTCACAGGATGGCGCTCAATTCACTGAGCTACACCAGCCAGGGTGTGAATATACATTTTAAGTGAGCTTTTCCATTATTTGTGTTTAAATGAGAGCTGATAATTTGCATCTTCCTCCTGTAAAATATATTGGTTGTAGTAGGCATTTGTTTACAAACTGCTTCCCCTCCAATTTTTTTTCCACCCAAAATATGTTTGTCTTATCCTGAATTTTCATGACTTGGGTCCAGAGCCACATAGGTCTTTTGTGGGTCTTGGGCACCTATGCCTTCATGGGCCCTGTCCTTCATTAAAATAATAAATAAACAAATATATATATATATATATATATATATATATATATATAATTCCATTGATATGAAGATGAGTATAATTCAAGCTAGATTAAAAATTAAAACATTTCTTTGACTTTGAAAGTTCATTTTTGTTCTTCTGATTTTACAAGAAATTAAAATGTATTTGTTGGCCCCTAAACGTGTGTGGGCAGGGTGCCCGGTGCAGAAACCAGCTCTGCGTGGGTCTGGTTAATAGAGCTGTCCCACAAGCAGACTGGCTTTTAATTTTCTCTGAAAATCAATCCTGCTCAGAGATGGTAAGTTGGGAGAAGGACCACAGTGCGATGTTCAATGAAAACACCGGACAGCAAAACGATGTGTGTGCGTCCTGATTCCAGCCTGGTGAACGAGCTCTCATGTGTCTAGTTTGGGAGAAGCACACCAGACTTGAAGAGCAGTTGACTGGATCATGGGATTAGTGGGATTCCCACCGGCTCCCCCCACCCCCAATCTTCTAAAACTGTTTATAAGGGCATACAATTTAAAAAAATTTAAGTTGATGTATACTTGTTTTGAAGAAGGGAAGTGATTGGAGCAGAGTTCCTTTCCATGGTCTTGCACACACAAGCGGTCTCCGAAGCTCTGGTTACTGAACTATGTTCGGTTCCCGCTTCCCAGCATGCGCACCACAGGCAGGACTGGGCACGCCAGCTTGGCCATTGATTGGCTGTGTGATCTCACCTCAGGTCTGTGGCCTCCTGCGTGCTTACCTTTGTAAACTGAAAAATAAACAAACAAAGAGCAAATATCAACCATTTGTGTCAGGCATACTCACATTTTAGTTAATCTTCAAAATTTCCCTCCAGGGTATGATTGTCATGTTCATTTTTGCTGATGCAATTAAGTTCAGAGAGGTTAAGTAACTTGTCCAAGGTCACAAAGCAAGTTAGGGGCAGAGCTGGGATTTGAGCAGGCCCTAGTCATGTCCTTTTTATCATTCCTCCTCACTGGATAAGGTGAGCCCCTCCAGCCCTTCAGCTCTGGTGTTCTAAGGTATCCCTGACATAGTATGGAGAACATCTTCCATATTAACTCTGTTGTAATCTCTGTCTCTTCTTGGAACCCCAGGATTTCAGCACCTCCATTCCTAAGCAAGAAACGCTTCTGAGCGAGGCTACAAACAGCATGTTCTGGAGCGAGGAGGACGTGGTTCAGGCAACTGATAACTTCAATCAAACCTACAAAATCAGTGAGGGGACCTTTGCTGACATCTACAGAGGACAAAGGCAGGGCACGCCATTTGTCTGCAAGAAGCTCAGAGAGGTGAGCACTTCTTGGTTTCTAGCCGCGGGTGGAGGCTGCATGGTGAGGCTGGATTTTAATGTTGTAGTGTATTTTCCCACAGACGGACTGCTCAGGCCCAGGATCAATTGAGAAATTCTTGCAAGCAGAGAAACAGATTTGTCAAAGGTAAGCCTTCCCTTTGGAAAATAGTCTGTTTAATAATGATGACAACTAATCCTTACATAGTGCTCCCTGTGTGGCAGTCATGTTTCAAGCACTCTGTGTGTATAAACTCATTTTGTCCTCACAAGAACCCTGTAATGTAGCTGCTATTACCATATTGTTTTACATACAGGCAAACTGAGGCACAAAGAGGTTAAGTGTCTTGTCCAAGATCACATGGCTAGTAAGCGACAGAGCTCAAATTTGAACCTGGATTGGTCTGGCTCCATAGTCCATGCTTTTTCTCTGTAGCAACTATAAGTACAGGCTAGAATTGCAAAAGAACCTTGGCTCCCTTGGCCCAACTCCTTTCATCCAGGGGGAGAGAAATCTGTTTCTATCTCATTGTGTGAGGTGCGCAGAGACTTGCTGATTCCCACTCTATGGGTGAATCCATCCTAAAACTCCAGTGCTCTGGAGCAGGATCCGGCAAATGGCGGCCAACCAGCTCAATCCGGCCCTGCCTATGTTTGCATGGCCCAAAAGCTAAGGATGGTTTGAGAAAAATAAAAACAATATTTCATGACACATGAAAAGGATTAAAAATTCAGACTTCGGTGTGCATAATAAAGTTTTATTGGAACACAGTTCATTTATTCCCATGTTGTCTGTGGCTGTTTTTGTGAGACAGTGCACAGTTGAGTAATTGGAACGAAGACCGCATGGCCTAGAGAGTCCAAAATGTTTATTGTCTAGTTTTTTTACAGAGAAATTCTGCTACCTCTGGCCTTGAGCAGTACGGGCCTTCAAAAGTTATCCTCAAATCTGCTCATTTTACAGGTGGGGAAACTGAGGCTGGAGGAGTGAAGTGAGCTTCCCTGTCACAGAGCTGGGTGGCCACTGAGAAAGAGAAGGGGAAGGACTATTGGGAGACCCAGGGGCTTGTTCTGGCTCTGCCATCACTGACTGATGGGAGCCTCACAGAGCCTGTCGGGCCCCTGGCACGTGCTGTGCGTCAGCTGTCATTCAGCCTTGGCAGGTCCCTGTCGAGTTTCCTCTGTCAGTGTGCAGCCTTGGGCAAGTGATGCGTGATCATTGTAGAGTATTTTAAGAAATAAAGAAAATCATAAATAAGAAAATAGAAATCTATTTTCCATAGCTCCTACAAGTAACCACTGCTGTATTAATATTTTGATATATTTTAATCCTTTGATACTCTTTAATCCTTTCTCTGTTCATACATGTGTACACACGTACACACACGTATACACATACCGATGTAACACACATATTTAGTGGAAACTAGAAGTCTAATATCCCCTCCACCTTGGCATGGTGCCGTCCTGGAGTTGGCAGGCATTCCTTCATTCACTGATTTGGCAAATGTGAGTTGTCCAGGCCCTACTTGCTTGGGGAGTGCAGGCCTTGAAAAATACACTGCCTCTGCCTTCGGGAAGTTTATGGTCCAGTGGGGAGAGTAGTGTGTAAATAATTTTAATGAGTGTGAAAAGTGTGAAGTGGGAAGGCCTGGGGGATGTGGAAGAGGGCAGAGTGGTCAGGCAGGAGGCCGTTACAATAGTCCTGGGGAGAGTCCATCAGCATCTGACCCAAGGCAGAGGAGGGGGGAATGAAAGGGATGTTCGAAACTACTTATGATAGTTTTATAATTAAATGAGGCGATAAGGAGGAAATTTCTGGGAAATTGGATGGTTGGTAGTCCCCTGCGCTGAGGTATAACTATGGGCAGAGAAGTGGGTTTGGGAGTGGTCAAGTCTAGGTTGTTTTCCTAGAGCAGGGCTGTCAAACTCATTTTCACAGGAGGCCATGTCAGCCTTGAGGTTGCCTTCCAAGGGCTGAATGTAATTTCATCTCCTTAACAGTTAAGGAATAGTTATATTTATACAGTCCTAAAATTATTTTGGCCCTTTGAAGGCAACCACGAGGTTGATGTGACCCCTGGTGAAAACGAGTTTGACACCCCTGACCTAGAGCATGGAGATGAGAGCTGTGAGAGTGTTCTTCACAGAGGTGGGAGTTACCTAGAGGAGCAGTTTATAATACAGGATGATGGGCCAGCCTGGGAGGCTCAGGTTTTAGAGGGAGGTGTAGGAGGAGGGTCTTAGTGAGAAAGGCCAAGAAAGAGTGGTCAAGAGAGGTAGGAGGAGAGTCAGGAGGGACTGGTGACTTAGAATCCATTGGAAGAGGATTTGGGGGAAGAACTCCAGTGCTAGGAGTCAAACAGACCTTCAGTGTCATCCTGGCTTCACCGAGTGCTAGTTATAACCTAGGGCTAGTTGCTTAATCTCTAAGCCTCTGCTTCAAGAAGATGGGGTGGCTAAGGTGTCAGAATGCTGCAGAGCAGGGAAGCAGGATAAATTGAAGCAACTTGACTTCTAGCTCCTTGAAGGAAGGCAGTTTTCATCTTTCTACTGTGGCGCTAGGGCCTCAGGGCAATGGAGAGGGTAGAAGAAGTATAGAAAGTGAGGAATTTGAGCAGTCTTTAAAAAATATTTTTTATTGATTGATTTTGAGAGAGAGAGAAAAAAATATCAATTTGCTGTTCCACTTATTTAGGCATTCATTGGTTGATTCTTGTGTGTGCCCTGACTGGGGATAGAATCCACAACCTTGGTGCATTGGGATGACATTCCAACCAACTGGAATGGCTTCTCAGCCAGGGCCAGAGAAGTCTTTGATTACTCTTTCTGTTTGAGTCCTCACTCCTGCACTAATGCCTGATTACAGATGCTGCCACCCCAATATCTTACCTCTGCTGGGCTTCTGCACTGGAAAACAGTTTTACAGCTTGATCTACCCCTACATGGCAAATGGTTCTTTACAGGACAGACTCCGGTGTCAGGTAAGAGACTGGGTCATAGTCAGAGAACAGGACCAGGCAGCACCCTATTAGAGAATCAAGGATTAAGGACATACAGGAGTCCAGAGAGGGAGGGGACATCCAGAAAGGCCCTTTAATAGAAGTTAGTCCAGGATAGATAAGATCTGGCTAAATATTTTCAAGTAAAACCCTATAAAACGTTTATTTGACAAGAGGCATTACATTTAAGTCAAGAGAAAAACTAAAGTATCCCATGGCACTAATTTTACTCAACATTGTTCTGGAGGTGGTAGCCAATGCAATAGAAGAGGAAAAAGAATTAAGAGATACAAAGTATGGAAAAGTAGAGGTAAAATTCTATTTAAAAATGGTATGCTAATATATACCTATTTGCTTGTGTATTTATGGATATATCTCTGGAAAGATACAACAAAAGAGTACCTTGGCTGCCTCTGGGGAGGGGAACTAGATAGCTGTGGTATAGGACAGGAGGGAAACTTACTACACATGCTTTTGTACCTTTTGCATATTATACCATGTGAGTGTAGTACTTACAAATTAAGTATTACTTAAAAATTACAATTTTTAAAACAAATCTCCCTCCCATTAAATCTTGAAACAGAGGAGAAAAATTTATTCCACATGGAATTATTGCTTCCTTTGGCAGAGACCAAAGCAGTTATTCATGGTGTAACAATAATGATCACTAGCTGTGCTGGACTCTTCCTGTGGGCACTGTGGGCTTTTCACATGTCTTCTCCAGGCCTTGCCACAACCCAGCAGGTTTTCTTCATTTTCCAAAAGAGGAGAGTCTCTGGCACAGAGAGGCAAAATGACTTGCCCGAAGGAACCGAGCTGACAAGTGTCAGGGCTAGGGTTTAAACTGGGTTCATGTGGCTACAGAATTCAGAGTTTTAGAGAAGTTGATTAGCAAGGCCAATTCTTAGAGGATGTGGGACTTAAGATAGGACTTGAAAAATAAGTGGTGCTTTAACCTGGAGATTCAATCTTAGAACAACAGTGGTAGCACGTAGGGGAAGGCAAAAAGAGCTGCTGTTTGCTGAGCACCCACTGTGTGACAGGCACTCTGCTAGTACAAGGATACACTAGCATAAGGATTCTTTGAATCCTTACAACAACCCTAAGGCATAGGGATTGACATTTCCATTTTAATCGAAGAAAGGGAGGCTCAGAGACGTTGAGTGTCTTTTCCAAAGTCACACAGCTAGTGCATGTCTGAACTGGGATTTACACCTAGATATTCTGATGTTAAAACTTGTACCCTGCCAGTAAACCATGCTGGTAAAGCCCTGTTGCAGAGGACAGGAGGGGCTGGAGGAGAGACAGAAGCCTAGGACCCTGCCATTGGAACTTTAAAAGACATAGGTATCACTATTGCTCCCCCTTTCTTTTCTCTTAGGGCGGCTCACATCCCCTCCCCTGGCCCCAGCGCATCAGCATCTTCTCAGGGCTGCTTCGTGCTGTGGAGTACCTTCACAGCTTGGAGATCATCCACGGCAACATCAAGAGGTGAGAGAGGGAGACCCTGCCAAGGGCTCAGGCTGCAGAGATGAGACTGACATTCCATGGTTCCCTTCTCCCTGTCTCTCTTCTTTTTGCCTTTCTCTGCCCACCTTGCCTCCCTTGGGTGTCTCTTTCTTTGTTGAAAACAGTTTTCAACCCCCAAAATCAGTGTTTCTGATTGCAGTCAGCATGAACTGCCTATCTGTCACCACATTTGTTTTTCTGAGCTGGTGTTTTCCCAACAAGCACCCGACACCTCTCATGTATTTTACTTCCCACCCAGCCAGCTGGTCTGCACCTGGCCATGTCTGCCAAGTCCCTGGAATTTTGAGCTCTGTGCTCACAGTACTCTTGTAGACCTGCCCCCCCCGCCAACTTATGTATCTGTTGGTGAAAGCAACTCAGGTCATGGAGGTTTCCTGCAGGGTAGGGAGCCAGTTATCATGCTCCCAGACATCTAAGAGCAGGAGATCCCTGTCTGAAGACTTTCAGCATGGGGAGAAATTCTAGAAGATACCAGAGAATTTGGAAAATCTGAACTCAAAACCATAGAACCCACACTTCCCCAAAGTCCTCTTTCCATTTGCCAAGGAGAAGCTCTTTCCTCTTTTTTCCCCCCATGATTCTCACTTGGTTGCACACACCAAGAAAGGAAATGAAAAGACTGAGGTCATCCTGGCTCACAGCAAGACTCCTCAGGTTCCTCCATTTTTCAGTCTCAGCCCTAAGGCAGCACATCTGCCAGTTCATGCTCTCTTTTCCCTCCTTTATTTAAACACAGTAAACATTGCACGTCATCATTTCCCGTGACTTCTTAGCCTTCCATTGCAGGGTTGTCCATAATTTATGTACTTCTTCTAATAGTGGACATTGGGATTGATGTCTACTTTTACAGATTTTATTTATTTGCAGAGAGAGAGGATGGGAGGGAGAAAGGGAGGGAGAGAAACATCAGTTGGTTGCCTCTTGCACGCCTCCAACCAGAAACCTGGCCTGCAACCCAGGCATGTGCCCTGATTGGGAATTGAACCCGTGACCTTTTGGTTCACAGGTTGTCGCTTAATTCACTGAGTCACACCAGCCAGGGCATGGTGTCTACTTTTAAAAAAACTGTTAGAGATTAGTCCTTTATTGAATGGTTTCATACATCTAGCTGAGTCTTTTGTCTCCTCCCCCCAGCCCCACCTTTGGGGTAGTTTCTGAGAGTTCATTCCCATGGTTTAGATGAGTAGATTCAAGAATGTTTTTATTGCTCTTATTTTCTACAATCTGGGCAGATTCAGTCAAAGGATGCTGGCATTTATTTTTATTTATTTTTTATTTTTTTATCCTCACCTGAGGACATTTTTTTTCATCACTTTTAGAGAGAGGAAGGGAGAGAGAGAGAAAGAAAAAAAGAGAAACACTGACCTTCTTATGTGTACTCTGACTTGGGATCAAACCTGCAACTCAGGCATATGCCCGGATTGAGAATCAAACCCACAGTCCTTAGGTCCATGGGATGATGCTCCAACCAACTGAGGATCCAAATTGTTCAGGGCAAGGACGCTGGTATTTAGACTTGAGTCAGCTGGGCCAGAGCTGGAGGTCCGAACACCTTTGGAGGGGACTGAGTGATACAACCTATGGGCTTGGCCAGCTGAGGTTGATCGGGGTAGACAATTAGGATGGTTGTGGGGATTTGGCCACACGAAATGCCATTCCTAAGGCAGCAGGATTAATCTTAGTTCCACCCTCATTTTCCAGTGGGAGTGGGCTTCCCTCTCAGGACTGGCTCAGAAACTCCGTGTTGAGGATTGTCAGTGACCCTGACTTAGTGCAGCTGACACTGCTCACTGCTAAGTTGTTTCCCAAAGGGTCTCCATGGCAACCTCTTTTTGTCCAGGTCAAAATAAGAAGGTTCCACTTTCTTTTCCACAGCTCCAATGTTTTGCTAGATCAAAACTTCACCCCCATGCTGGCTCACCCAGTGGCTCACCTGTGTTCTGTCAACAAAAGGTCAAAATACACTGTGATGAAGACCCACCTTTTCCAGGCCTCAGCTGCGTATCTGCCAGATGATTTCATCAAGGTGGGACAGCTGACAAAGCGAGTGGACATCTTCAGCTGTGGAATAGTAAGAGTTTCCTTCTTTGCCGAGACTTGGGCCTGAACTCGTTTGTCCTCTCCTTTGCAAGCATGGGCTAGAGTAGAGGCTGGTAGACAGGTTCTATCAAAGTACAGCAGGCGCTGGCAAACTATGGCCCACAGGCCAAAACTGGCACATGGCTTGTTTCATATGGCCTATAACTAAGAATAGTGTTTACATTTGTAAAAAATTGAATAGTCATAATTTCAAAAAAACAAAGAATATGTGACAGGGACTTGATTTGTTGTCCACAAAACCTAAAATATTTATGATGTAGTCTGTTAAAGAAAAAAATTGGCCAGCCCTTGAAGTCAAGCCACTCAGGAGAGTCCAGATGGTAGTAGGCTACAGATGTCATCTCCTGACGTCCCTGATTCCCATCCAGCTACCGGTTTAATTTTCTGTTCAGAAGTGTTTATCCTTGTTGTTTATCCATCTGTTTTGTCCCCCTGTCCATCCATCTTTACAGTCATCTATCCACCCATTCATTCAACATCCACCCATTCATCCAGCCCCCCAGCAGCCTCCCACTCATTCACTACAGTCCACTTATCCTCACCACCACCCTGCCGGTCATTACTGTGTGTGGAATTTGTGCAGACTACAACTGTAACTAAAATACTGTCCTTCTCCCAGGAGCTCATGGTCTGAAAATGGCAGCCTCCAGGCTACATTTGTACAGAACATCAATTCCTTGAGATCTCTGTAGGGTTGATGTGCTTAAACGTTTGGTGAACAAATAGGTTTGGCAAATCTGGGTTAAGTGAAGTCAAGGAGATTTCTTTACCACAAAATTAATCAGAGCCTTTAATATGATAATGAGTCTTTAATATGATAATGAGCCTTTACTCTGTTCATTGTGAATTTACCACAGCTAGGCAAACAGTGTGCTGTGTTTCCCAGGTTAATTTGATAATTGAACCTTGTTCTCTCAGTATCTGTGAATGTCTGTGTCCCATGGAATCCAGTCTGGGAGATGCCGGCCAAGACCAGTGACAGTCTCTGGTTGACCTCTGCCAAGAGCAAACAACTGTATTTTGGACCTTGCCCTCTCTCTTCCTCTTCAGCCTTGAACTCTGCACTTCCTCTCTGACCACGGTCTCCTCTCTGTCCACCTCCCTATGAGTGCCCTCCTGCTGAGCCACTTTCTGCCCTCAGCCCAGCTTCTCGTGTCTGATTCCGCTTCCTTCTGTCTCCCCGCCAGTGGGCTCTTCTGGTTTCCTTGCCCCGTTAGCTCCACTGGGTGACTCATTGAAGTTCAGCAGGGCTTGCCCGGGCTCCTGCTCCTTTAAGACCTGGTGGGACTGACCCCTGAAACCACCAGGCACTGGAGTACAGAGCTCAAGAGCAAGGATTTGGGTCCCAGCTCAGTTACTTTCTCTGGGCCTCAGTTTTGCTTTCTGTAAAACAGGGGGTAACGTTCATCTGGAGATTGATAAGATAATATACATAAACTGGTTAGCATAGTACCCTGTACATACCAAGATTATTAGTATTATAGTGGTTTGTTTTATTATTCCTACCTTCATACCCTCATTCCTGATTTTTGTTTACTGTTGACTTTTTAACTCAGCTCTTGGTGTAACAACTGACTTCGTCCTGCAATCATTCAGTCACTCACTCATTCGGTGCCTGCTGGCTCCCTGCACTTTTTCTCAGCCCTGCCATTGACTAATAGTATGATTTTGAACTGCATTTCACAATATATGTTTTGGTGAGATCCATATGATCTCCGTAAAAGGCACAGCACAGCCTGCCATGTGGAAGAGGCATAGGAAATGTTCATTTCCCCTTGTTTTTAACTTCCTTCCTGGCAGGTGCTACTGGGAAATCCCTTTTCAATGGGCTTCTGTCCACTTGCTGCAGGGGTGCCCGCTGCTGTCCCCTCCTGGCCACTGCCACTCTGTTATTAATCCAGTGGGCCTTTTCTCTGGAGCTGAGGATTTCTTGGCAGTAAATAGGAACTTATGGGTTGCTTCTAGAAAGGCTGTGGAAGAGAGATTTGACATGAAGCATGAAGTACTCACTCTCTTCTATTCACTACCACTAGGTCCCCATTTACCAGATGAGGGCACAGGCTCATTTTAGTTACTTGCCCAAAGATCACCTGCACGTCTAAGGAACAAAGTCAGAATTTGAACCCAGGTCTCTCTGACTAGAGAGGCCTTAACAGTCATGCTGTCATCTCTGCTGAGAATTCCTGTTCAAAGCAGGTTCCTTGTTCATTAAGACACACATCACGGTTTGCCCATTCCGTGGTGGCTTACACTGGCTCAGTCTGTGCTCCTTTTGTGAGTGGATGAATTAGTGAGCAAGTAGTGTCAATAAAAAGCATATGGGTGAAACGTGCTGTAGATGTTGCCGAGATTCTCTGCATGGAATTCTTGTCTGCATGTGGATTCCTCTTCTCTGAGATCGATGTAGCAATTCCTGCTTACCATTTCTGATGGGTTTTTAAGTGAAATTATCTTTAAAATATAGTGTGTGTATGTATGTATGTTTATAAATATAGATGTGTGTGTGTATAATGTGTGTGTATTATACAGGGTGGGGCAAAAGTAGGTTTACAGTTGTTCATGTGGAAAATAATACAATAATTAAATAATAATACAAGACTAAACTCTGTGTTTTGTATACTCACAGCTGTGAACCTACTTTTGCTCCACACTGTATGTATATATGCCCATATATGCATGCAGTTTATATAATACATATAAATGTATATATGCATATATTTATAAAATTGATGGTAATACTCACACATTTGGTTTCCATCCTCCCTGCCTTACTATCAATTAGATTGAACCTTCTACAAGCAGCTGGGAGGCATGTTTAGTTGGAGGAAGTGTGATATTCTCCATGTTCAGATTATGGACACAAGTCTGTGCTGGCAAATGGCAGAACTAGGCCTGGAGGTCAGACTTTGTTATCAAGAAGAAGCTTCTTGCCCTGACTGGTGTGGCTCAGTGGACTGAATGCCAGCCTGTGAACCAAAGGGTCACTGGTTCAATTCCCAGTCAGGGCACATGCCTGGGTTGCAGGCCAGGTCCCCATTAGGGGGCACCTGAGAGGCAACCACACACTGATGTTTCTCTTCCTTCCTTTGTCCCTCCCTTATCCTCTGTCTGAAAATAAATAAATCAAATCTTAAAAAAAAGAAAGAAAAAAGAAGAAGCTTCTCTCTTAGCCAGAATTCCTTCCTGACCTTATACATGGGTGTTCAAACTGTGCTAATTCTATGTTCTCTCCAGGTGTTAGCTGAGGTCCTCACTGGCATCCCTGCGGTGGATAACGACCGAAGCCCAGCTTTCCTGGTAAGGGAACCAGTCGCTTCTGCCTGGGTGGTGCATTTGGGCCTCACAGCTATGAGGGGTGAGAAGGGTGCCCATTTTACAGGTGTGATTGAGGGAGGCCTCCGTCTGGGGTTTGATTTGCATCTATGCAAAGGAGCTTTAATCTCCCACCCCCACCTACCCACCAACAATTACTTTTTCGCGATAATAGGATTTAGAATGTTTAGAGAAAACTAATTTCTTCTCTCTACATGTTAGGCAATCAAATAGGGTTTGTTTGTCCTCAAATTGGCAAAAGTTAATTCCAGCCCTTTTAAATAGGTTTCTATAATAAAATCAATAACTTCCATATTTGGTACCTTCAGAGAACTGTCATATATATAATATAGTGTGATTTCAAAAATATAACAACATGGCTTGACTCTGTTTGGCACTTTCTATAAATTACCTTTCTCAATAACCTCAGAATCCTCGTGAGATTGATAGCGGCACTGTGTTCCTCTATAGGTGAGGAAAGCAGGCCCTGAGATTTGCCTGAAAGCTCAGTTATACTGAGTGTCAGAGCTGAACTTTTGAATCAGGTCTTCTGGATTTTAGATCTTGAGTTCTCAACCATGACATTCCCCTGACTGTTTAATTCTCATGGCAGTCAAAGGAGCCATATGAATTCAGTAGTATCATCACCCCCATTTTGCAGATGAGAAAACTGAGGCCAAGGTGAAGAGACTTTGTCTCATGCTCCTCAGTGAGATCAGTAGTCAAACTGGGATTCAAACCCATGTCTTCGGCAGAGTTTCAAATTCTGTGCAAGCTCTGGTCCTCTTCATCAGTTGAGAGGGGAGCCCCTTTTCTGACTTGATGTTGAAGCCATCAGAGCAGCTGGCTTTTTCTTGACTGGGCCCCAAAAGCATTTCCTGAGCTTTGGGATGGAGAGCCAAAGGCCTCCCCTAAGCACAGAAAATTACAACTTGTCCCTCTACTGAACTCCCTGAGCTCTGGTCCTTTTGGGCACCGAGCTCCAGATTCTGCAAAGAGGTCAGTTTGGGTTGTTTAGAGTAGTTCCTGTCTCCTGCCAGTTTTCTCGAGATACATCCTCAGTAGTGCTCTGGGGTTCCCTGGGTGACCATTGCAGGAGGAGTGTTTTGAGACACTTGTGTGAAATTTGCTAGATGTTTTTTTTTGTTGTTAATGGTTTATAAAAAGGTGAAGGATATCATTTATTCAAAAATCTAGGTTTTTTTCCTCTTCTTCTAGACCCAAATATAGTCTCTCATCATTTCCTGTTGTTGCACATGCACAGTTAAGACTGTGCATGTCGTCAAGATTCCCGGGAGAGTTGAAAGCTGATCACAACTCATGTGGTCCCAGCGGGGTGGGCACAGGCCTCTCCTCTGTGCTCGGGGAAGTGTTTGTGGACACAGTGTTTTCAGAGGGAACTGGGTGGTTTCCACCCAAATTTAAAATGTGTATACACTCTGATGCAGCAGTTTCAGTTCAGTAGAAACGAGGGAAACACACACAAGTGAGGAAAGACAGATGGACAAGGATGCTTGTAGCCTTATTTATGATAGTGAAGCGTTGCAAACAAGTGAAGTATCTTTCAATTGGGAGGTGGTTAAAGAAATTATGATATAATCATTCACACGGTGGAATACCATGAAGTTCTTTATAAATGTCTTTATGCATTTAAGTTTATAAATATTTGTAAATAATGAGGATAAAACATATGATACATTTTGACATATGTGTGTATCTATGACCTCGTCAGCAAATCAAGATAATGAACATGGCCATGACCTCTCGATCCTCCTCCTCTCACCCCGCTCCCTGCCCATGCCAGCCCCTGCAGCCACTGATGTGCTTCCTGTCACTGCACAAAAGCTTGGGCTCTCTGAAGGTTCACGTAAATGAGGTCGTGCTGAGTGTGCTCTTCAGCTGGCTGGCTGGCTGTTCCCACTCAACAGAGATAGATACTCTGAGATACAGCCATGCTCTTTGTGCCAGTGGCTCATGTCTTTTGTCACTGAGCGGTGTTCCATTGCATGGATCTGCCACTGTTTGTTGTCCATTTACCTATTGATAGGCATTTGGCTTATTTTCAGATTTTGACCATTACAAATAAAGCTGCTAGGTAGCTTTGTGTGTGGGTCTCTGGTCGTATGCATTCATTTGTCTGAGGTATAACTCACACTTTTGAGGTGTGCAGAATGGTGTGAGTTTTGATAAATGTAGACAGTTATGTAACTACCACCATGATCAAGATATAGAATATTTCCATCCTTCCAGAAAGTTCTGTCAGGCCCCTTTATACTCAGTCCCCTCTGCCACTTCCAGCTCCAGGCAACTCCTGTTTTAATCTCTGTCCATATAGTTTCATATTTTCTTGAGTGTCATATACAGGGAATCATAGAATATGAAGCCATTGTTTTGGCTTCTTTCACTCAGTGGGGTGCTTCAGAAAGTCACCCATGTTGTTGCATGCATCAGTGGTTCGTTCCTTTTATTTCTGAGGAGTATTCTGTTATGTGGGTATATGACCGTTTATTTATCTATCTACTTACTAGTTGATGGACATCTGTGTTACTTCCAGGTTTTGGCAATTCTGAATAAAGCTGACATAAATATTCTTATTAAAAAAATAATGAGAAGTTCTGACCAGATAGCTCAGTTGGTTAGAGTGCTGTCCTGATATGTGAAGGTTGTGGGTTTGATCCCCAGTCAGGGCACATACAAGAAGCAACCAATGAATGAATAAGTGAATGGAACATCAAATCAATGTTTCTCTCTTTCTCTCTCAAATCAATAAAATAAAAAAATAATGGGAAAGACATATATATGTTCTGACAGGGAAATATCTCTAAGTGTAAAAGGCATGTTCAGAACAGTGTATGATTTAATGCTATCTTTCATAATAAATAGATGAATGAGTAAAATGTATCTTTTATTTTCCTATTTGTAAATTGGGGATAATTGTATCTACCTGATAGGATTTAGTGAAGGTTAAATAATATGTAAAATAGCTAAAGAACAGTGATGAAGAACATAATAAGCACATATGTGATAGTTATTATTATTAATTTTATTTTCACAGCTCTTAGGAGATTGCTTGCTATTATAATAATTATTATATATAACTAAAATGACTGTAGCTATAGACTTTTGTAGGGGAAAGTCTAGAATAATGTAATCCAAACTATTAGCAGTTAGAGTTGACATGAGGGGAAAAGTAAACTTTTGTCCTAAAACTTTAATCAGTTATATTTTAATTTTTAACAAAAAAAGTTAGTAATAATAGACCTTACTGGTGTGGTTCAGTGGATTGAGTGCCAGCCTGAGAACCAAAGGGTTGTTGGTTCGATTCCCAGTTGGGCACATGCCTGGGGTACGGGCCAGGTCCCCATTAGGGGGCACCTGCGAGGCAACCACACATTGATGTTTCCCTCTCTTCCTCCCTCCCTTCCCCTCTCTCTAAAAATAAATAAATAAAATCTTTTTAAAAAGTTAGTAATAATAATATTGCTTTTGTAATAATAATTTCTGTTTAATTAACATTATAAATTCAAATAATCTGCATACTTGGCTTAGAAAACCTAACAGCACTGGGCAGTGACTCCATGCCTCTCTCTTCCCCTGCCCTGACTTGTTGGATTTCAGAGACGGCCTCTTTCTTCTTTCTTTTCTTTTTTTTAGGTTTCTTTCTTATTTCAAATTTAATTAAAAGTATACATATTTTGCCCTGACCTGTGTGGCTCAGTTGGTTGGGCACCTTCCCACAAAGTGAAGGGTCCCTGGTTCGATTCCTGGTCAGGGCACATGCCTGGTTGCAGGCCGGTCCCCAGTTGGCAACTGATTGATGTTTTTATCTGGCATATCAGTGTTTCTTACTCTCTCTTTTTCCCTCCTTTCCCCTCTCTCTAAAACAAATAAATTATTTTTAAAGAGTATATATTTTTATATTCAATATTATTATGTATTAGTTTCAGATGTACAGCATATTGGTTAGACAATCATATATTTTGCAAAGTGTTCCCCTGATATTTCCAGCACTGTACATAGTTATTATAAGTTATTATTGACTGTATTCCCTGTGCTGTGCTTTATGCCCCTGTGACTGTTCTGTAAGTGCTAATCTGTACTTCTCAACCCCTTTACCTTCTTCACCGAACCCCCCAACCCCTCCCCTCTGTCAGCCGTCAGTCTGTTCTCGGTACCTGTGAGCCTGTTTCTGTTTTGTTTGTTTATATTGTTCTTTAGATTTTACATATGAGTGAAATCATGTGGTATTTGTCTTTCTCTGACTTATTTCACTTAGCATAATACTCTCTAGGTAGGAATGGCTACTTCTTAACAGCCCTTTGTATTATGGGCAATTTCAAACATACACAAAAGTAAAGCATATAAGGAATATTCATTTATCTGGCCCATTAATTATTAATATCATGTTTTTCTTACTGCTTTGCACTACTAAAACTTTGTATGTGTGTACCTTAAAGCCAAGTATTATGTTATGTCACCCATACAATAGTTTTCTTAAATTTTTAATATTATTTAATATCCATTTCATTTTTAGAGTTGGTAAATCACCTCAAAAATTGCTTTTTAAAAGTTGGTTTGTTTAAAATGGGGTACAAATAAGGTCCATATTAAATTTGGTTACATTTCTTAAGACATTTTTATTCTCTAACCACACCCCTCCCCCCTTTACTTTCTGTATATCATTTCATTTCTGCAGAAAGTGGGTCATTTGCCTTGTAGACTCTCTCACATCCAGATTTTAGTGCTTACGTCCTTGTGGTATTCTTGTTTCTTTGTTCCTCATGTTTCCTATATATAGGCAGTCACCTCCAGAGACTTGGTTAGATTCATGGTTAGTGCTACTTCCTAAATGGTGTTGTGTACTTCATAGCCTCACAACAGGAGGCATGCAACACATTGTCCTACTTTCAGTGCTAAGCTTCATCAGCGGATTTGGGTGGACCTGGTGGTTTCCTCCATTACTAAGATCCCCCGTGACCCTACCACCGAGTGTTCTTGGCTTGTCTTGATGACTATTGCTGGATGAGATCCATGATGTTATCAGGGTAGTCAAATGATAAGCTTCTTCATCTACTGTTCTTTCAGGCCAATACTTTGACCGTTTCTGGTTTTGTTTCAGATGGTGGTCACCTCCACATCTGTAAAAAATATGCTTCTATTATTTATTGATTTATCAACTTCAAACATCATTGTAATGTTTAAAGAGATAAACATTTAAAAGACAGATCTCACATGAGAGAATTATGAAAAGGGTATTTAAAAACCTCCCAGAGATTCTTATTTTTTAAATTAATTAATTAATTATTTGATTTATTTTCATTGATTTGAGAGACAGAGAGATCAATTTGTTTTTTAATTAAAAATTTTAAATTATAATTTATTGATTATGCTATTACAGTTGTCCCAATATTTCCACCTTTGTCCCTTTCCATCCAGCACCCCCACTCCCTCAGGCAATCCCGCCAACATTGCTCATGTCCGTGGGTCATGTGCCTAAGTTCTTAGGCTACTCCATTTCCTGTGCTGCACTTTACATCCCCATGGCTATTCTGTAACCACCTACTTGTACTTTTTAATCCCCTCACCTCTTTACCCATTCCCCCACACACTCCTCCCAATATGGCAACCATCAAAATGCTCTCTATATCCATGATTCTGTCTCAGTTCTTGTTTAGTTTGTTTTTTAGATTCAATTGTTGATAGATATGTATTTATTGCCATTTAATTAATCATAGTTTTGATCTTCTTTTTCTTAAATAAGTCCCTTTAACATTTTGCATAACAATGGTTTTGTGATGATGAACTCCTTTAGTTTTTTCTTGTCTGGGAAGCTCTTTATCTGCTCTTCGATTCTAAATGATATCTTTGCTGGGTAGAGCAATCTTGGCTGTAGGTCCCTGAAGATTCTCTCTTTAACCTTTGGCAGTTTAATTATAATGTGTCTTGGAGTGGGCCTTTTTGCATCCATCTTGTTTGGGACTCTCTGTGCTTCCTGCACTTACATGTCTACTTTCTTCACCAAATTAGGGAAGTTTTCTTTCATTATTTTTTCAAGTATATTTCCAATTTCTTAATGTTTTCTTCTCCATCTGACATCCATATAATGCAAATGTTGGACCACTTGAAGTTCTCTCAGAGGCTGCTTACTCTGTCTTTGTTTTTTTTGGATTATTTTTTTCTTCTTGTTATTTCGATTGGTTGTTTTACTTCCTTATGCACCAAATCATTGATTTGATTCTTGGCTTCATTCACTCTACTGTTGTTTCCCTGTAAATTTTTCTTAATTTTAATTAGTGTATCCTTCATTTCTGACTGGATTTTTTAATGCTGTTGAGGTCCTCACTAAGTTCCTTGAGCATCCTTATAACCAGTGTTTTGAACTCTGCATCTGATAGATTGCTTATCTCCATTTTGTTTAGTTCTTTTTCTGGAGTTTTGCTCTGTTTTATTTGGGCCATGTTTCTTTGCTCACTTTGGCAGTCTCCCTCAGTTTGTTTCTATGTATTAGGTAGAACTGCTTGGTAGTGTGGCCTAATATATTAAGTGTCCTGTAGGGTCCAGTGGCACAACCTCCCCTTATTACTGAAGCTGGGTATGTGAGGTGTGCCTTTCTTGTGGGCTGAGTACATTAACCTCTCGTAGTTGAGCTTTGGTTGCTGTTGGCAGGTCAGTGGGAGGGATTTACCTAGGCCAGTCAGCTGCAAGGACTGGCTGTGACCATTGACCACCAACATCCATCCTCTGTGGAGGATCAGCTCTGCAGGGACAGGGTGGTGGTGCTTCAAGGTGGTCTGCAGCTGTCCACTGGGTGTTCAGGCTCTGGGGTTTCCTAGGTAGTGAAGGCCAAGGTCAGCCCCTACTGGTGTTCTGCCTGGGTCCACCTTGCCTGAGCTATAAAGCAATCTGAAACAGTTGCTACTTGTACTGGGCTTGGAGATTCCCAGGTGAAGCCAGGCAGTGAATCTAGGCTGGCTGCTGCTAGTGCCAGACCTGGGACCAATTAGCAAGGGGTATTGGGACTGCGAGCTCATTGAGCCCAACTGTTGGCTCTTTGACAGGATTTAGGAATTTGTGATGCATGAACAAAAACCAGCCATTTATATGGAAAAGTCACTAGGGTGGGCCTGTAAGTTGGGTGGGACAGAGTCTCAGGGGATCTCCAGAACAGGGCAAACAGTGTCAGCCAGGTTGATGGAGTCTCAGACATGGCACCAGCCTGCCAGCTCTGTGGCTCTGTGTGGGGAGGGTTCAGAAAAGGGACAGTGGCCTCTGCCTGCCTTTCTGTTTGAGAGAAGGCTGTCTCTGAGCTTTCGCCTTAATGCCAGACACTTCATTGCCTCCCTGTATGCCACTGTGCCTTTCAAGCTGCTTCCCCTGTGCTGGAGGTCAGAGGGATTGAGTCTGAGTAAGTCCGTGTGTGGGTTCTTTAAGAAAAACTGCTTGGGGCTCTAGAAGTTTCTTCCACTGACTCAATCTTCACTGGATTTGCAGTCAGAATTAATGGGGATTTATCTTTCTGGCATTGGAACCCTGAGCTAGAGTCCTGGTGTGGGGCTGGACTCTTTGAATTTTTATATATCCCTCTTGAATTTTTATTTACCTCATGTAGATAGGTGTGGGACCAGCCTGCTCTGCACCTCTGCCCCTCCTACCAGTCTGGATGGCTGTGGTTTCTTTAATTCCGTAGTTGTCAGACTTCCATTCAACTTGATTTCTGATGGTTCTGAGTGATGGTTGTTGTATAGTTTAGTTGTAATTTTGATGTGATTGTGCAAGGAGGCAAGCCGTGTTTACCTGTGTCACCAGCTTGTCTGGAAGTCTCAGCCCGATTTGTTGTTCCATTTATTTATGCATTGGTTTATTTTTATATGTGTCCTGACCGGGAATCGAACTGTCAACCTTGGTGTATCCAGATGATGCTCTAACCAACTGAGATGCACAGCCAGGGCCAGCCAGAGGTTTTTAATCTCCTAACATGGTCAGGCATTTATGTGTTATTGGATCCTCTGACAACCCATTTCCTGGATAGGAAAATTGAGGCAGAGTAGAGAGTGTTTTGTTTTTGACACAAATTATTACAACCCATGTCTGATAATCTCTGATAACCTTTTTCTCTAAATTATAAATGTATTTGAATGAAAAGCTGTATAAAGCAACAAAATAATTTATTTTTACATTTAATGACTATCTTCTATTAAAAACAATAAAGTTACATAAAAGATGAAACTTAGCCAAAGAATAAGTTAGTAGGTACAATTTGGTGAAAACATTTGTGAGGCATTTACTATGTGCCAGGCACTGTTCTTGGTGCTGGGGGTACAAAGTAATATTTCTACCCTAATGGGTGAGAATCCTACCTTCTGGAATGTTTATTTCATATTTTAAGAAATTGTCCCTGTAATTGTTAATAAGACTAAATTATTAATGTAATTGTTTAGCATGTAGTAAGTACTATATGAGTGATAGTTATTATTACTATTAATTATTATCACTAATAGACTATTGAATGTTTACTTTGTGTCAAGTATTACACTTTATGCTTTAGGTCCATTAAGTCATTTAATCTTTTTGTTAGTCCTATTATCCCCATTTTTCTGATGAATCAACTGAGGCCTACCAAGAAAGATTAAGCCACTGTGTTTGCACAGTGTACAGTTTTTAGTGTACTGTGGAATGCCCTGTGCATGTAGGGAATTTAGCAATTCTTTAGTTCTTGGCTGTTTTGCTTGTTTCTGGGATCCTTGCATTTTTTTAAAAGATTTTATTTATTTATTTTCAGAGTGAGGGGAAGGGAAGAGAAAGAGAGGGAGAGAAACATTGATCAGTTCCCTCTCATGTGCCCCGAACGGGGACCAGCCTGCAACCCAGGCATGTGCCCTGACTGAGAATTGAACCCACAACCCTTTGGTTTGCTGGTGGGTGTTCAGTTGACTGAGCCACATTAGCCAGGTCCTTGCAGTGATTTTAAAATCCTGTAGGTTTTCTAAGAAGTTTTTACAGCTCTGGTGCAGTCTTGGAGGCAGGTCAGGCATCTGTGTTCGGATGCCACACCCATGCAGCTCCCTCAGGGGCATTTTTACTGTTTTCCCCACAGAAGGATTTACTCCTCTGGGAAATTCCTTGCTCCAGGAAGATGGGCACAGAGAAAGTGATGGCCAAGGAAATCTGCCAGAAATACCAGGAGAAAACAGCAGGGACGCTGCCGGAAGACTGCGCAGAGGCTTTGGCCACAGCCGCCTGCCTCTGCCTGCGGAGGCGGAACCCCAGCCTGGCCGAGGTGAGCTTGACTCTCAGCCTTTCCCCAGTGATGAGCTCTGTCCTGGGTCAGCTGGACCTCCCTCCCAGGAACCACTGTATCTGCTTTATCAGGGTTAATCCCTTCACGGAGATGTGATCTCACTAACCAGGACTATATTTGTCTGGAAGTAGCAGAAGGTGTTGGAACCTACTAACAGGGCAGTATATGGATAAAGCCTCTCAGCAGCCTGAGGGCAGTGTGCTGCTGGCCTGGGGGCCCAGGACTACACTCTTAGATGCTAACAGAACTCTGGCTGCTTTCTCTGAATGTGCCTTATTCCTCCTCTTCTCTCTGTAGGCCCACTTCCTCTTTTTATTCATCTTCTTGGTTAGGGGATGTGGCCATATTCATTTATACATTATGGTTCTACCTCTACCCAGAGACCAAGTCTCCAGGTCCCTATTCCAACATGTCAGTGAGAGAACCTGATTGTCCTAGCTAGGGTCAGGTTGGCGCCCCTGTCCAGTCAGGTAAGATGAGTGGGGGTAGGGTTAGTATATAAACCTGGGGATCAGTGGGGTCAACCTCTGAAAGGAGAAAGGGCCAGGTCCTAGAGGAAGGGAGCATCTTTAGCATGTGGGCTAGGCAGACACCCCAGAAATCAACCATCACAGGGGATAAAACATTTTCTTATGGACAGGATATGAAACGGTGGTTTCCATGGTAACAGGTATAAATTTGGGGGCCACTGCTAAGTCTTAAGGACAAAATTACTGCCTGACAGGGCTCTTAGAGATAATCTAGTTGAGTGATTTTCAAGTGGTGTCTGGCAGAGAGGGGCTCCTAGAAAGTATCTCAGGAGTTGCTGTTGGCAGCAAGGGGACTGTGGGGAGCTGTAGGCCCCACCCATGGCTTCCACCAGACACCACTTTAACTTCTCATAACTATATCGTGTTCTCACTATTTTATTTGAGGAAAGGGTTTGTGGTGGCTGTAAAAAATCTTCATCAAACACCACTGCTGTAGCCCAAGGCTCCCATTTTATAGACATGGAAGTAGAGGCCCACAGAGAGGAGAAGATGGGGCCACAGAGTGAGTTTCTATCAGAGCTCTTTGGACTCCTGGTTCATCCCCATGTCCATTGTCTTGCACCATCATGTGACAAGGGCTGGACACCCTGAGTCATTTGTTGTTCTAGGCCTGGGTGATTCTCCTGTGCTCTAGTGCTATAGTGTTCAGTCATTCACTTAGCAGTTGTGTGCTGGGCCCCGGGGGTATATCAGAATGAGTCCAGTTCCTCTTTGCAGACATTGCACAGTAACTGTGGTGAGCACGGGGATGGTGTAGTCAGGGGCTCCACCAAGCAGGGCTTTCTGGAGGAAGTGATGATTAAGCTGATGAAGAGTCTTCCAAGCAGAAGTAACAGCTCATGCAAATAGCCTGAACTGAGAGAGAGTCCGGCACAGTCAAGGGCCTGGAAGAAGGGCAGAGTGGTGCACAAAGTACATGGGGCAAGGCGGTTATGATGAGGCTGCAGAGGAAGGAGGAGCCAATAAGAGAGGGTTGTGCAGGCACAGCCAGGATTTAGAGAAAGTCACTAGGACTTTTCAGCAGGGACCGACATAATCTGATTTATGTTCTAAAAAGATCTCTCCTTCAACCACTTATCCTTTCATTCATTTCATTTTTTTTTTTTTTGCTCAGGGAATTAGTTAAAGTACTCTTGAAGAAGCTACTATAATGAAGAGATTCCAAAATATGGTCGTGTAAATGAGATGGAAGATTATTCTCGCTAGCTTAACAGTTTGAATGTAGGCAGTTCAGAGCTGATACATCAGTGCCATCGTATTGGGGACCCAGGCTCCTATATTGTTGCTTTGCTGTCCTTACCATGTAGCGTCTGTTTCAGAGTCCAAGATGACTGCAGTAGCTCAGGCCATCACCACTGCATGCCAGCCCCTGAAAGGGGGTTAAAAGGAAGAGGAGGACATACCCCCTTCCTTTTAAAGGTGTGCCCTGGAGATGTACATATCACTTTCTTTCATACTCCATAGGCCAGGACCTAGTTATATGGCTGTACTAGCTACAAGGGAATGTAGGTTTTAGCATGGCAAGTATTTATTGAGCAGATACTCTGAAGATTTATCTCAAGAGGTGACACTTGAATTGGGCCTTGATGGATGAGGGGGCATTTGCTATGTAGAATAAAGGGGATAGAGCACTTTAGGTTTACAAAGAGGAATGAGGAATGGTCCTTGCCCCAGGATTTTACAACCAAGCCAGGAAGATGAGAGATCAACTGAGACATGGACTTTAAGACAAGCAGGACTGGCTTCAGTGGTCAGTTTTGCTGGGTGGACTCAAGCAGGGAACTTAACCTCTTTAATCTTTTAATTGTTTATCTACAAAAACTCACCGTGTATCACACATCAAATGTGCTTTGTAAATTGCAAGGCACTGAGCAAATGAGATTTGTTAGGGTTATTGAGGGCATATATGTATTATCCCCTGTGTGTGTGTAAAGAAGAAACATTCCTTCTCAGCCTTTCTCTAATTTTCCTAATCTCCCTGAACAGAAAAGCTCTCAAGGACAATATCTATATTACTTAAGACATTTTTAGTTGAAAGTTATAAAAACTTCAACGCAAACTCTTAGAAATACACACACATAGAAAGACACAGAGAGAGATGGGGGGGGATGTGAATGAATGAATGAATGAATGAATGAATTTATTGGCTCATTTAACCAAACAGCAGACAGGGCAGGAATTGCTAGGGCAGCTAGAACCAGGGCCTCAGTCAGCAAAGGTGTGACTATTTGTGTTTGTGTCTGTGACTCTCCATCACTTGCCTCTGCTTTACTCTGTGTGAGGGCTTCATTTTCACCTACTGTGAATGTGTATGGTAGGGAGTCTAGCTCTGCCACTGGAAAGGAAAGGGGAATCTTTCCTCAACAAGCTTTAAGTGGAAAAATCCCAGAGAGGATTTTTGATTGGCCTGCTTGGGTCATGTGCCCAACCTAAACCAGTGATTAAGGTCAGAGGAATGGGATACTATGATTGGTCTGTCTTGGTCATGTGGTCTCATCTATTGGTAGGGGTGATGGGGGCAAGTTTAGCTCTTTTCAAGGGAAAGTTGCTATTCTTCCGGGAAAAGCAACAAGCATTGGATTCTTCAGTGTCTGTCTGTCCTGAGGCCTGAGAGACGGGTTAGATTTTTGATTTCAGAAAGGATTCTTGGTAAGTAATCCCATCTCTCTCCTCCTCAAGGTACGTGGCTCTGTGGCTGCTGTGGAAGAGCGGCTAAGAGGTCAAGAGATGTTGCTCCCTTGGGATGGGCTTTCAGAAGGCACAGGCTCTTCCTCCAACACCCCAGAAGAAACGGACGATGTGGACAATTCCAGCTTTGATGCTTCCTCCTCCATCAGTGCAGCCCCCCAGTCTGGGATTGCTGCCTCGCCTGCCCCCACAGAAGATGGAGAAGGCAGGATGCAGGCCAGTAGGGGAATGCAGGCTGACTCCTCCTCTGAGGCTTGTACCAGTCCAGAGCCTTCACGGGATGGTAAGTGTGTGGAGATCTGAATGCGTATACACACTCATTTATATGTCCCTAACTCAGCTCACCATTTATTCCTCCCACCTCCCTTGGTCACATGTTCATTTGATTATTCAGCCATTCCTATAACATCTGACTGCACAAAGAAAAACCTAGGGCAGTGATCCTTGACAACTTCCTCTCCCTCCAGTTCCCCTGTGTCCTGTCCATCATCTAGTCCTATCCATTGACCTAAATAACTCTCAGGTTCATTGCACCCATCTCCCCTAACTTACTGAAGTTACAGTCCTTTTGCTGGATGACTGCACAGCCTTCCTTTATCCTCCCTGATCCACTCTGGCCCCTCACCAGTCCTTTCTCCAGGGGCCAACCAGAGTAGTTTTTAAAAACAACTTGTGTCACCCCTTGCTTAAAGCCCTTGCGTGGCTTCCCATTGCACTTCATGACCAAGTGAAAACTCTTCCTCCAGACCAGTAAGGCCCTGTGTGGTTCATCCCTGCCTGCCTGCTTCTCCATCCTCACTTCACAGCATGAACCCATCCTTGCCAGCTGCTTGTAAAGATACTTTCTAACTAAATGTATGAGGCTTCCTTCTGAAATAAAAACTTGGAAGGCTTCCTCAATGCTTTGTCCCCTAGTCAATGCGACTCAGTAAATGTCCCAGGCTCTGACCATTCCTGCTGCCCCATCTCCCTTGTGGAAGAGAGAGGGAGAAAGGGTGTAAGTGTTCACAGGCCCCCTTGGGAGGATCATGGGAGCCCTGCCTCTTCTCTGAAAGGTGGGGGCAGGTGGCAGGGCTTTCCTGCAAAGGCAGAAATGATGAAAATGCTCATTACACTCAGGGCCTGATTCAGAAACCTGATTTAAGTGAGAAACTGTGACCAAGGCTGACTTTCTAAGAATTATAATAATAATGCCTATTTCCAAATGCTTTTTGTTCAAGTCGCTTTTTTAAAAACTTTGCATTGAATATCAACTACAGAGACTTCATGGAAGATCGAGATCAATGAGGCCAAAAGGAAACTGATGGAGAATATCTTGCTCTACAAAGAGGAGAAATTGGACAGCATTGAGCTTTTTGGACCCTGATGACCAGAACACAGCTGAAGACCCTTGTCCTCAATTGGAAAGATGACTGTCAAATCAAGAAAAAAGTCTAGGGCAGAATCCAAGATCTCCCGAGAAACACAAACCAAACATCAGCTTCTCTGAGGGGAAGAGAAATATCTAATTTCCAGAGTAAGTGAAGGGAGAAGGGGCCTCAGATTTCAGAGAGCAGAATCCACGATGTCCTCTTCTTTTCTGGGATTTGTTCATCAGAGCTGGATGTCAGGAGACTGAAGCAGAAATCCTGAAACATGAGCCCAGGATGTGAGCAATTTCCTGGTTCTGGGGTGGATACGACATTAACCGCCCCAGCACACGCCGTTACCTTGACCTCACCCTCGACAACTGACAGAGCATTCTGAATGCTGATGGCACGTTCCCAAGTAAAGATCTCTGGGTCATATTTGTCAACCACCACCAGCAAACTTCCATGACCTGAAAGATGTTAACTTGTGTCCCAAGAAGTTCTTGACATTTCTCAAGGTCTCAAGTTTTATAAATGTCGCACACCTGACAAAGGGGTCTGTAAGTTTTCTGCTTTGTCTGTTGGAAAACAGGAGAACTGATTTTATATCTGCTGCTAATTAATTCAATCATGTAATTTGTGGAACCTCAGTTTCCTTATAAGTAACACCTGTTCATTTCCCCACCGTGGGCTGTTGGGAAGAACAGATGAGACATGGCTGCAGAAGTACTGTACTTTAAAAATGCACTTGTCCTGTTTTATAAAGTAAATAAATAAAGACATTAAATATCTATTTCTGCCATGTACCAAGTTTTTATGCGGTGGGCATATTTCTGAAAAGTCATGTTTCTGATCTTTTTGTGAAACAAATGCTCTTTTATATTTAATGTGCCCTGTTTTAAATAACCCTAGTACAGTGATATGTTCCCTTACTTTTTATTTTTGTAAAATAAAAAGACATTGATAAAGTCAATAGATACCTTGTAATTAGTTTTGTGTCTAGATGAATTTGTTTGGAGCAGTTGCTCTGCATCCATGAGCCAGGGTATCACAGGGTGGCTAAGGGACTGGGTGCAGGCTGTAAATCCTGGCTGTTGATAGATGTGTGATTTTGGGCCAAGTCAGGGAGTTACTCTGGCCCTCTGTCTCTTCATCTCTATAATAGGGAGAATAAAAAGTGCCATTTTCATAGGTTTATTGTCAGAGCAAGGGGTGGATCCTGCCTGGTGTAAGCATTCTACAGCCCCCAGCAAGGTCAGCCTTGTAATGATATGTAACAAAGCCAGGTGGACTCCAGCCCAGGTGGACTGCAATATGTACTGACACCTCTGTCTTAAGCTTTGGTGGCTGTGAGAATCCAACTAAAGTATGTGTCATATTCACTTGGCATGTGGTAAGCACCTTACAATTATGAGTAGGACATTAACAGGGCTCTTTGAGCAGTAGAGGGCAAATGCTAATAGGGTACTGGTTATTCAGACATACTTGTATTTCTAGACTAGGGCCTCATATGTTTCTGGAGAGACTCACTGGAAATCTGATGAAAGCTATGGACTTTCTCTCTTCAGCAAGCTATAAATACACACACATCACTCTGTATATTAATTCCAGGTGTCCATGAATCCCCGAGGGTTGGACAGCCTGACTTTTTAAAGTTAATAAGATGCATGTGACCAAGAAATCCAAGCAGTACAAAAGGTTTCATGGCGGAAAGGAAGCCTTTTAACCACGTGGAACTTAGTCTCTCATTCCTTCTCCCCAGAGGCAAACACAGTTACTAATTTATTACTAGTTCCAGAGATGGTAAATTTTAAAAATCTTTTTGCTCAACTTCATTAGTCATTGTGTGTGTTACATGCTATTGAGTCAGCTCTGACTCCGGGCAACTCTATGAATGAGCGACATCCACAATGTCCTGTTCTCAACAGCCCTGCTTAGCTCCTGTAGACTCAGGCCTATGGCTTCTTTTATGGAGTCAATCCATCTCACATTTGGCCTTCCTCTTTTTTTGCTGCCTCCTATTTTCCCCAGCATTATTATCCTTTCCAAGGAATCCTGCCTTCTCACAATGTGCCTGAAGTAGGATAAGACAGCTTCGCTTTTGTCATCTTGCCTTCAATAATATTTTAGTCTTAATTTGCTCTAGGACCCACTTGTTCATCTTTCTGGTGGTGCAGGGTATTCATAGAGCTTTTCTCCAATGCCGTATTTCAAATGAATTCTTTTTTTTCCATATTAACCTCTTTCACTGTTCAACTTTTGCATTTGTACATACTAATTGGGAATACGAGGGTGTGGGTAATCTTAGCCTTGGTCTCTAATGACACATTTTTAGCTCTTGGTGGTCTCCCTAATTCTTCCATGGCTTCCCTTCTGAGTCTCAGCCTTCTCTTGATTTCACGCCTGCAGTCTCCATTTGAATTGGTGATTGACCCAAGGTAAGCATTAGTCATTAGGAAATGTAAATTAAAACCACAGTGAGATACCACTTTGTACCTGCTAGGATGGCTAAAATATAAAAGAGAGACAACAAAAAATTTAATAAGGACGTGGAGAAATTGGAACCCTCATGCTTTGGTGGTTGGGATTGTAAAAAGGTAAGCTGCTTTTCCCACATCCTCAAGTTATAAAAGGTTGAATAGTTTCCATATGACCCAGCAATTCTACTGGTAGATATCTACCCAAGAGAAATGAAAACATGTCCATACAGAAAAACTTGTGCACCAGTGTTCACAGAGATATTCAGAATAGCAAAAAGTAGAAACAACCCAAATGTCCATCAACAGATGAATGGATAAACAGAATGTTCTATATCCATACATTGGAATATTATTCATCAAATTTATTTAATTAAAATTATTCATAAAAAAGAATGAAGTACTGATCCATGCTACAACATGGATTAACTTTGGAATGATTCTGCTAAGTAAAATATATGATTCCATTTTTATGAAATGTCCAGAACAGGCAAATCTACAGAGACAGAAACTAGAAGTGGGGTGAGGGAGGGAGGGTTCAGGAGGGAAGTGGTGATGGTCACAAGATTTGGAGGTATTCAAGTGTTCTAAAATTAGATTAGGGTTATGGTGGTAGTTGCACAATTTGTATAAATACACTAAAGAAAATCCAGAATTATACACTAAAAAACATGTATGTTTAAAAATCCATTAAACTACATATAGTTGAACTTTATGATATATAAATTATATCTCAATAAAGCTGTTAGAAACACAAATACACAATGGTTATTCTTAGGCATTTAAAAAAAACTTGAGGTTTCACTCCTCTCTCTTTTATTATTATTATTTTTTTTTGCCACACACGGTATTTCACTCACTCTGTTCCTGATCCTGGTTTTTTTTTTCTCATCTGTCTTGGCTATTCTTTGTCAACAGTACTTTTGTATCACTTCATTCTTTTTGCCTGATACTTCACTGTATGGATGGTCAATACTTTATATAACTAACTTTACTCCCTACATATTGAGGTTGTTTTCATCCTTGTGCTACAAACAATGCTGTCCAGGACGTTGTACCAATTTACATGTCCATCAGTGACATATGGGAATGCATATCTCCACGTCCTGAGCTGCAAAGACTATTATCATGCTTTTTAATCACTGCCAATCTAATGGGTGAACATTTTATTTGTACTTTTTAAATGACTGAGGTAGAGTTTTTTTTAACATGTTAAAGAGGCTTTTGTAATTTATTTTTATTCATTGGTTCATTTCCTTGGTCCATTTTAATATGAATTCTCTCTTTTGAAAAGATTTTATTTATTTTTAGAGAGCAGGGAAGGGAAAAAGGGAGAGAAAATATTGGATGTTGAAACATCTGAGAGAAATATCATTTGGTTGCCTCTCATTTGCACCCCCACCAGAGACTGAACCTGTAACCTAGGCATGTGCCTTGCTTGACCAGAGTATAGCCCAGGGGACCTTACCCTTCCTGGCACAACGCCCAACCAACCAACCAACCGAGCCACACCAGTGAGGGCACAAATTCTCTTATTGCCATAGTTTTTACATAGTAAGGCCACCAGATCTTTGTCATATATTGCAATTATTTTTCTTGTCTTTTGACTTTGAATTGCCAGGCGGATATTTTACATTTTGGTGTAGCCTCGTTTTTTTCTCTTGCTCGAAGTCTGGCTCCTCTTGGCTTCTAACTTCCGATTCCAATTCTGCCACTCTGTGTGTGTGTCACTACGTCTCCCTGAGCCAGTTTCCTAGGTCAATTAATTAATTGGTGTTGGTGTAGATTTGATAATTGTATCCGGATCTGAAAGCCTCCGGCCTAGAGGGCATAAACACTGAGCTGAACGAAGCAGCCCTCCGCTTTCTGGGTCCGCATACGCCCTCTACGTCCTCTGAAGACCGTCCCAGGAACGGTGGTCGGCCTTGCCTCGATTTCGCGCTCCCAGAGCCCTAGCGAGTGGCTTCGCCCCACCTAGTTTCCGACCAATAGACGAGTTTCATAAGACGAAGGGTCCCGCCTCCCAGGCTCCTGGCCAACAGGCGAGCTCCGTCTTGATCGGAGTCTCTCTCCCCTCGGATTGGAGCATTGGGCTCCCTCGGTGCAGGACCCGCCCCCACCGTGCGCCGGGCTGTGGGCCACAGGGCTGGTTCTGGGAGGCGGGCATAGCGGAGGCCCGCGGCGTCGGATCCCCGGAGGAGGCCGCCAGATTGGGGCGGGCGGCGCACAGCGAACGGGAGGCCGGGGCGGGACGTCCGGGCCCTGGGGTCGGCGGGGCCGACGACTGGGCGGCGGAGCAGGAGGTCGGGTAGGGTGGGGCGTGTTGCGAGGCGGCAGACCCGGGCGTTGCCGGCTCCTGAGGGGCGGCTCGGGCCCCTTCCGGCCTGGCCGGGGCTGGTCCGCGGGGCCGCGGTTGCTGGGCCGGCTGCGCGCCGGGCCCGCCCTGCCTTGCGGCCCTCCGGCTGCGTTGCGGGCCTCCAGGTAGCGCGCCCGCCCATGGGCTTCGGGTCTGGCTGCTCTGTGTAGGGCTTAGAGCGCCTATAGTATTTTTGAAACGCTTTGACATCTCTGAAGGGCTTTGTAGTCCCGGAAGCGCTTTGACATCTCCGAAGGAGCGCTGTATAAACTGAAGCGTTTGGTAATCGCGGAAACACGTTGTGGGCTTGGAAACCGAACCGAAGCTTTTAGTAAATCTTGCAGCGTTTTGACTTCTCTGAAAAGCTTTGGCAACTCAGACCTAGAGAACTGTGATGGGCAGTGGAAAGAAGGGGGAAAGGTCAGTAAGGCTGGTCCCTGGCTCTGACCTTCGGGCTTGCCCTCGCCCAGCGGGCGCCTGGATGGCGGGAGTCTGAGGAGGGGCAGCTAGGAGGGCTGGTGTTGGAATCCAGGTCCCCTCTTTATCTTGCAGGTGCTCATGGCGTCGGAGCGGTGCAAGGTCAAGTACCACTGGAGCAGCACTTCGGCAGGGTGTTCCCGCAAGCGCAGCTGCCTCCGGGAGACCAGTGATGTGGCCCCCTCCAGACGGCCAGCTCGTAGCAATGCGTCGCGTTCTGGAGGGGCCAGCAGCCCCAAGCGCCTGAAAGCTCAGAAGGAGGACGATGTGGCCTGCACACCGAGGTTGTCCTGGGACTCATCCCGCCGCAGAAATTCCTCCTCCTCTTCCTCCTCCCATTCCTCTGGCCCAGGTGTGGACGGGGTTGCCTCCAAAAGCTGCCTGATTCGGAGCACACGGGGTTTCCTTTCGTCAGGCGGATCTCCTCTGTGCCCTGCCAACTCCTCTCTAGAAGAAATGGCTTCTCTAGAAGAGGAAACCTGCAGCCTTAAGGTGGGTAGCTGCAAAGCCTTGCAACCGGTGAACTCCCTTCTACGTGGCTTGAGATTTTGGGGATGGGAATTTTGGTGGAAGGAAACTAAAAAAGATATGCCCTTTAAAATCTCTGGGGTCTACTTCGTTCAAACACAGAACACCAAGCGAGCGTTTGGCCAGGGAGGTGGC